TGTTGGGCCTGGTCCTTGGCAGAACAGTGTCTCCAAGCGCTGCTGAGCTTGGGAACTCTGTTTGTGGGGAACAAAGAGCTCTCACCTCTCCCATCACGGCGATGGGCGTCTCCCCCGTTGCCTGGGCCACCCGATGCTCCACCAGATAGAACATGTACTCGTCGTAGAGCAGGCGGATGAGGTGGAAGGACCCAAAGCTGGCAGCGCTGCGCAGGGTGAGGTCACGGATCACCATGGAGCTGCAAACAAAACCCTGGCCTTGGGTTCTGCCCTCACGCCAGGGCTGCTGGCAGCTCTTCGCCCTGTGAGAGGCAGTGCCCTGCTCCCACCTCTACCCTGAGGGCATCAAAGCATTTTAGTGGATGGAGCGTGCTGTCCCCATGCTGGAGACACAACTCCAGGGCAGAGCAGCAGTTAACTGGAGCTGCCTGGGAGTCAAGGACTCAGCCTTGGCTTTTCCAATGGGTACCTATGTGCCCGAAGCCTGCTGCAGAAATAGCTCCAAAATGAGAAAGAAAAGGTACCTATAGAAAGACCACTTCAACAGGAACTGCCTGGCTGCCTTGGGGAAGCTGGGGCTGCCCTCGTGATGCTTCAGGACTTGAGTGACGACGTTATCCAGCCAGTTAGCCCACTGGTCCAGAGAGCTCTGCTGCTGCAGAGTGAGCTTGAAATCCTGCTCCAGCTTCTGCACCATGCCCTCCTCACACTGGCACACCCACGAGGCTTGCTCCTGCTCGGGAAGAAGGGATGACAGTTACTCATGCCAACTCTGTGTGGCTGGTGCAGCCCAACCTGAGAATTCAGCTTCATTTCTGGTAGACAAGGACTCCAGACCAGCTCTGACCCACGTCTCCTTTCATCCATCCAGACCACAGTACAACATGAGTATTAGAACATATTATTCTGATGGAAGTTCCTTAGTTCCTCCTCCACTATCCACAGTGAGATGGCAAACCTGGAAAAATAACACCAAGCCCATCAAATTGTTCATAAATGTTGTGGTTTGAGGCTTGGAATGGGGGCGTGACCTTCCAGCAACTGGGAGGACCCCGGGTGGGGGTGAACCATTGTATTCCCTCCCCTTCCCACACACACTCTGATAAGAGGCAGGGAGTGGGTTCTAATTTCACTCCTGCCTTGGAGCTCGGAGAGGAAAGTTCTCCTTTCACTCCGTGAGACCCTGGAACCATTTCTGAGGGTTTTGTATATTTTATTTTTTGTATTATTCCCCTAATCTTTGTATATATTTTTTTCCTTACCTCCCTTTTTCATTTTCTGTTCCTTGTTGAACAATATACTTCATTTTTTTTCCAAAGTCTCTCTCTCTCTAGGTGGGGGGAGAGGCGAGTACATAGTTCTGTTCCGTGTGGGTCCTGCCCTGAACCCCTTTTTACACAGAACCAGGACAATATCATTGCTTTTTTTAGGGCTGGAAATCAGATGTGTGTTCCTGGAAGCCAACCTCATTACAGAGTCCCACTGCTGGACAAGAGGACCCAGGAGAAGATCCCCTCAGTTACCTGCACGTTGGCGAAGTCGACGCGATTGAGGTCGCTGAGCATCTGGTTTATCTGGGAGGTGTTCTGCAGCACAGCACGGGCAGCCTGAGCCAGGTGGTTCAGGGAGGTGTATCTCCTCAAGGTCTGGGCAAAGGCACTCACCACCCCCACCTGCAACACAGCCCCAGGGCACCCTCAGCAGGAGGCCACCGAGCTGGAGATGCTCCTCAGCACCCAGCACCCCTCAGCTGGGGGGACCAGTTGCTTTCTAGCAGCACAACCTTATTCCACCACAGAGATTTTCTTCCACGTGGTTTTATCTGCAGCTTCAGGGACTTTTTAGGATATTGAGTAACAACAGGACTAGGGGGAATGGGGCAAAGCTGGAAGTGGGCAGATTCAGGCTGGATGTGAGGAAGAAGTTCTTCCCCAGGAGAGTGGTGAGACCCTGGGATGGGTTGCCCAGGGAGGGGGTTGAGGCCCCATCCCTGGGGGTCTTTAAGGCCAGGCTGGAGGAGGCTCTGGGCAGCCTGATCTAGTGGGAGGTGTCCCTGCTCATGGCAGAGGGGTTGGAACTGGGGGATCCTTGTGGTCCCTTCCAACCCTGACAGATTCTGATCTGTTTTAGCCGAGGACTTTAGAGCCCTAATGGCTCAATGGTTGGACTTGATGATCTTGGAGGTCCCTTCCAACCTAAAGGATTCTATGATTCTAAGAGATAGGAAAGGCTTGATGGACAGAGCACCAGCAGCTTCTGGCACAAAGGAATTGCTCCACCTGTCCTCCTGTAGTCCCCCCAAAAAGGGTCCTTTCCCTGCTGTGCAAAGCCAGCTCACACACAGAGTTGGGATGTTTCCTTTCTTTTGGTTCTGCAGCAATGGGTGCTGGGTGATACGTTGCAAATCCAGCCCCCACTAGCTCAAGGAGCAGCAATTTATATACAGGACAAACATCAAAGAAATGATATATGATTGGTTACATGATTTTACATCACCTCAGTCTTCATACACATTCTCCATCCATTACTTAATTCATTGTACTAAGGTGGTCCTACATTTACATTTAAATTCTCCTCCTAGAGCTGTGGGTTTTAGCACTAAAATCACCACAGGTTAGGTAGGGAACACCTTGATGTTCTGATCTTTGTCCAAATCTGTCTCTGCTTTATGTAAAGAAGCCAGAACGAGGCCTTAGCTACAAAGTTTGACAGAATTTTACTGTCTTTAGATGCTGCTCTTAATTACTGTGTCTTGCTTCTGGTTGTTTTAACCTTGAGGTCATTCCATCCTTTAGTCTTAGGGCCCTTCCAGTCTTGTGATCCTGCTCTCAGGCCAGTTCATTAGATCCTTAGTCAGCCTACAAGATTTTAACTCTATCCTTCCATCATTCCTCCCACTCCTTGCTGATTTTGGCTCCTAATTATTCATTCCACCATGCTAGCTTGGAGCACACGTGGACAGAGCCCAGGGGTGATTTCCAGTCCCTGTGGAGAACCACAGCACAGGCACAGACACACTTGGTTCACATCCCTGCAACGTGCTCCCTCTGCTTACCTTGGTCTGCACAATCTGGGGGGGGAAATCACTCATGGCATTCATCAGCCACCCTTCCAGACTCTTGGCAAAGTTCCGAATGGCCTGTGTGAGGGTGCCTGCAAGGAAGGCTGCAGAGTTAGAAAGCTTGGTCCACAGCATCTCTGGACACCAAATTTGAGCTTGGGACTGTTGTGGAAAGCCCAACCTCTGATCTGGTTACCTGTGAGCACCAAGGAAATCAGCTGGGTCCTGAGATGCACTCAAATTTTCTTATTCTCTGATGTTGGTACTCAAACTTTTATTCTTATTCTTACTCCTAATCTTACTCTTACTCATATTCTTATTCTTAGTTGTATTCATATTCTTAACCCTATTCCTATTCTTACTATCATTTTCTTACTCTTACTCCTTTTTATTCTTACTCTTTCTTATCCTTTTCTTATTCATGGTCTTTCTGAGCATTTCCCAGATGCTGAAACATGCTCTTTACAGACACCCACGTGCCCCAGTGTGTAGCCCACCACCAGCAGCTCAGAGGATGTGGCTTTCCAGCACTACTCAGCCCAGTCTAGGCTGGGCAGACTGATCCACATGCTTCACCAAGGAGCCAAACCAGAGAGAACCCCCCAGATATCCCATCACTAATCTCCTGAACAAAAGCTGACCCCAGATCTCCAGGAGGTGCAGTAGAGGACAGGATGGTGCTATGTCAGTAGAGATACTATGTCCAAGGAAATGCCTCACAAGGATCAGCCATGCATTGAGCTTTTTCCTTGAGTCAGGAGATGTGATATGCAAGAAACCAAATTTTAAGAGCCAGGGGAATTTCCTGGGGCCACAAAGCAGAGCAACACTGCAGGAGGAATATTGCTGTTGCCATAATATTTTAGCTTGTATTCAAAGCAAAATCCTCTAAATCAGCTTTCACAGTGGAAATCTTTGTGGCAAGTGGTAGCCAGACTGAGTGAGTCACAGAACACTGCTGCTTGTCAGAGGCAGCATCCTGTGACTCAGCCCAGGGAGGAGCAGGAGCTGAGCAGGACTCAGGACCATGCTGCAGGATACTCACTGGGCACTGGCCTGAGCACGTCTGGGATGAGAATCTCCACCAGGGCCTGGTACAAGATGTGGTCACAGCTCCTCATCCATTTGAGGATGGGTTCATATTTGCACAGAGTGATCAGCTTGTCCTTTGGGAGGGTCCCTTCGTGCTCTTCTTCACTGCAGGAGGAGGAGGAGGAGGGAGGCAGTGTTAGCAGCAGGTTTGCATTCAGTGCTTTCACCCTTCTTCTCTATTTCTCACCTCAGTTTTGGGCAGAAAAAGTTTCTTTCATTCACGTTTGAAGGAAATGTTCCTGGTTCTTTCAAAAGGAAATGTCTGATCATTTGTACAAGTCCTGTCTGACTCTGGAAGTCCTCTCCATCCATGGGGTCAGAGTGCTGACCAAAGTTGTCCCTCAAACCCACATCTCCTGTGCTTGGCCTTTCCCCTGTCCCCTGGTTGCCTTTCCCCCACTCCCATTCACATGGGAACTTCAGCAGAGTCACCTCAGCAAGCAAAGGCTCTGTGGGCTCCTCCTTAGAGACCCAGCCTCTGCCCAAACCTTCTCACCTCTCTCCTCTCCCCTCTCTACACCTCCTCAGTGGGAGCTGTGGGGACAAAAGCTTCACAGTGAATGCTGAGCAGAGGAGCCAGCACTGCCAGGGACTACAAAAGGTTTTGAGATGTTTAATACCTTGAATGCTTTCAGAAGTTTCTGAATGTTTCCAGAAGTGTCTCAGTGAGATTCTCACCTCTCTCCTCTCCCCTCTCTACACCTCCTCAGTGGGAGCTGTGGGGACAAAAGCTTCACAGTGAATGCTGAGCAGAGGAGCCAGCACTGCCAGGGACTACAAAAGGTTTCGAGGTGTTTCATACCTTGAATGTTTCCAGAAGTGTTTCAGTGAGAACAGAGCAGACTGTCTCTGAGTGAGGTCAATCAAGCTTGCATTATTTTCACATTATAGATGTGGGCAAACTTTTTTTTTGCATGATTAAGGCCTAAGATATTTGGTTGAGCAGCAAGCAGAGAAAACTGAATCTTTAACACACTGCCAGAGCATCAAAGCAGAGCTGCTGAGAGACTACTCTGGGAACTGGGAATTGGGAAGGGACTTTCCCTGCATGCTACATCAAACTCATCCAAGCCAAGCCTTGGACATACTATAAAGAGGTACTTAGAGCCTCTGCCTGAGCAGTTTTAGTAACTGAACTCCCTACTCCTAGAACACTCACAGGGAGCAACTGGCTGTCAATGACCTAAAATGCTCTCTTAAGTCTAACCATATTCTGCATTTTATCATGTACTGATCAACAAGTGACTAAATATCAGCCAGCAGTGTGCCCAGATGGCCAAGAAGGCCAACAGCATTGTGGCTTGGAACAGCACTAGAGTGGCCAGCAGTTCCAGGGCAGGGATTGTCCCTCTGGACTCAGCACTGGGGAGGCTCAAATCCTGGGTTCAGTTTTTTTAATGGGTATTTCCTAATTATTCAAACTTTTACCATTTTTCTTCTGACTATAAGACATCTGTATCAGAAGTCTTTATATAGTCAATACAAGTGGACAAAGACTTTTAGTACAAACTTTAAGAAGAAGCCTTCACCTTTACAATTTTCTCTATTTTTCCACTCTCCTGTCTCTTGGCAGCAGACCACCAAGGCAGAAAGGAAGAAGAAGAGGCAATAACGACAAGCCAGGCAGGAGTACCAAGATCAGAGTAGCTTCATTTGCCATTATCTGCCTCAAAACATGAGGCACTTAAAGATCTGGACAGCCAGCTAAAGAACTGAGTCAGTCTAGGTGTCCCTAAAACCTCAGAGACTGAGATGTCACTTGAGATTGATGCCTCATGGCACAGAATTGTCACTGCCTGCTCCTGATGACCCTTTGTGAAGGCAGCATCCCCCAGAATCCAGCATGGTGGGGTTGGGAGGGACCTCTGGAGATCAGCTCATCCAACCCCCCTGCTCCAGCAGGTCCACCTAGAGCAGGGTACCCAGGATGATGCCCAGGGTGAAGAGAAGGAGACTCCACAACCTCTCTGGGCAGCCTGCTCCAGGTTCTGCCACCTTCACAGGGAAGTTTTTCCTCTTGTTGAGCTGGAAACTCCTGGGTTCCAGTTTGTGGAACTGGAGCAATGGGAAATACTGAAAGCACAGCAGCCTACCTGGATGGCAGGGCAGCAGAGCCATCACTAGATGGGGTTTTAGGATTCCAGAAGGATTGCCACAGCTTCTCAATATAATGAAACTGAAGATTCATGACAACATCCAGAGTTGCCTGACAACAAAGAACACAACTCATTAGCTGCTCTGCTGGCATCTTGTCACACGGTGTAAACAGAAACTTCTTGGGCTGCCATTTAGTTTAAATAATTTACAAAAATAACAGGAAGGGCATTGTTTTAATGCAAAATAACATTAAAACAGTGAAAAATAACATCGAGTGGAATATTGGAGTTGTGATACCCAGGAAATCAAGCATTCCCTATGTTATTTTCCTAAGAGCAGGATATGAGATGAACTATGTCCCACAGCAATGAATAAATCAATTAAAAATATTCCAAATAATCACCTCGCAGTGTCTCCTGTAAAGAAGCTGCAGAGTCTTCACATCATTCATGGTGACTCCTTCTTGTAAGAGGACGTTACTTAGATCAGGGGCTGGGAACTCAGGAAAGACATGGGTTACATCTAGGGAAAAGCAAAAACAGGGAGATGGGGAGAGCTGGGAGAGCTCAGTCACACAGCACTGCAGGTGAGTGCAAGGTGCTGCTGACACTGGTGGCTTTCATGTTTCAGTTGGGATGAAACAGGAGAAATGAGACTGATCATCTAGTGCTCTCCCAATTCATGCTGCTTGATTGGGTAAAAAAATGAACAACCCCAGCCTGGTTTATTCAGTGTGGAAAGGAAAATGTTTTCTTTCTCTCTGTAATAAAAGAAACAAGAATACATTGTCCTCATCTACTGCACTTCCCATTAGATTTTCTCTGAAGCCTGAAAAATGTCTCTCTGGTATTCTGAGAGAATAATGGCAAATATAATTAGGCAGCAGATGTATCAGGAGCAATTTTAGTTCTGAGCCAGCCAGGATTTGCTATCTCCGCTGGAGGTGATGGAGACACCTAGATCCAGGGCCAGCAAAGCCAGAAGGAGAACATCCATATGGACTGTCTTGGCTATGTACTGGAGCCTTTGCAATGAAGAGAATGTGGTTCTCCCTCTGGCTGCCTGTCTCAGCAAGGCTCTTCAGGTCCCTCATTCCTTACACCAGAAGGGTAAAACCAGATGGATTAAAAATATACCAAAAGGGAACCAACAGACTCAATGGCACAAGGGAAAACCTTCCCATGGGTATTGGAGTCAGCAAATAAACTTGGTAAGTGTGGCACTGCCAGATCTTATTAGAATATACATACTATACATAAAATATATGTATTATGTATGTAAAAGGGTGTAGATTTAGGAGAAAAGTGAATAAATGCAGAACAGGTGGGGCTTGCTGGACAAGACCTTCCTTCCTCTTAAAGCTCAAGGCCCAGAGTTGAGGTACCTGAGAGCCCAAAGCAGGGTCCTCACCTATGAACTGCTGATGATGTTGACTTTGAGCAGCAACCGACTGCTCGGGCGTCGTGTGCAGGTTGCTGTTGGAGCCACTCTCTGCCACACCATCCATCTTCTGAGCTGGCCTGTACCTGCAGTTAGAGCATGCTTGGGCTTACACAGGCACGAGGGAACTGTGACAGTCACACACAGTTTGTTCATCGTGCAATGGGTGAGGTGACATTCAAGGCCAGCATTTTGAGGGCTGACCATTTATAGTGTTTAGTCATGGGCAAAGGAGAACCTCCTGTTGGAAAGCACTCCCTGAGACAGAATTGAAGGGGTTAAGAAGTTTGCCCAAAGTGACACCAAAAAAAAAATAGAAACAGAGCTGGAGAGGGTGCCAGATCTGGTCTCAGGAGCTGACTTTTGCATTTACTTTCTGTTTGGGAGCTGAAGAAACAAATTCTTCTGCTCCTTCTTCACTCCAGCAAGAATCAGAAGTGCCTGTGCTTCCAGCAGACAATTCCAAATTCTTTTGCACATTGTGTTTTATAGTCAAAATTACTCAGACCCAAGATTAATCACAGCACTATTGAACTTGCACTGTTGCACAAACAAAATCCAAAATCCTCCCCAAACACAACCCAAGCCCCCAAGTCCTTTACACTGATGTGGCACAAATAACTCCACAGCTGAAGTCATAAAACAGTTTGGGCACAGGGATGCTGTGAAAAGTGGCACATTTGGTGGCATTCTCTGCAGCATGGACTGACTCAGAAATAGGTAGATAAATGCCATGTCATAAAATCATGGACTGGTTTGGGTGGGATGGGACCTTTCAAGGCCATCTAGTCCAACCCCCTGCACTGAGCAGGGACATCTGCAACTGGAGCAGGGTGCTCAGAGCCCCAGCCAACCTCACCTGGAATGGTCCCAGGGATGGGGCATGGGCCAGAATTGGTTTGGGACTTTTTCAATACTCCAAGCACCACTGACTTGCAGCCCCCTCTTCCACAGCTCTGCTCTGGCACTTCAGCAGCACTTGGGTGTGAATTGACCCAACGCGCTCCTGTTGCTCTTGAGCCAAGTCCCAAGATGGGGTCTGGAGGTTGCTTTGGGAAAGGACCCTTGCCCATGGCAACATCAGGGCCACCACTAGCAAGCTCTGAGACTCTAGGAGCACCTACCTTTGCTTCTGGTGGATGGGCTGCTGCCTCATTGCCATGTACTGGGTGTCCTCCTGCAAGCGGTTGAGCGGAGACTCTGGCTTTAGACGGATCCCATAATAATGATATTTGGAGTTTCCCCTGGAAGTTGGAATTGCTCAGGGTAAGCTCCTCAATGGCAGGCACATCCTAGCCCTGCTGTTTACTCAGTGTAAGCTCCTCAATGGCAGGCACATCCTAGCCCTGCTGTTTACTCCTGGCCTTGTTTTGACAATACACCCAACTCCCTGCAGCCCAGGGTGGTTTGCTGCCAAGCTCTACGTGAATGGTTGAGCTGAGGAATGCCATCAGCCCCTATAAAATTTAAAACCACATGTCACAAAGTTCAGTGACATCCACATCTGAAACCCAGCCAGGTTTGTTGCCAGTAACCCATGGTAACTGGGGAAGAAGAGACAAGCGTTACAATACAAAGTGTTATTAAACAGAATGACAGAAAGGTCTCAGGGGACACTCTGCTCTTTGATTAGGGTTTGAGGATTTGAGTTTTTTCCATAAAAACAAACTTCCATCTCTATCTAGACTTGGATAGAAGAAGCCTGACTGGTAAGAAAAATGGTAAGAAAAATGTCTTGCTGTTGCCAGCACTTTCAGAGCAGCAGCAAGGGGCTTTGATGTGGTTTTGTAGCCTTTGTGAAAACTGAAAGCTTTCTGCAAGCAGAAGAAGCTGGAATTCTTTTTCCTTTGCTGGACAGTAAAGCTGCTGTGATGCTCCTTAGGAGAATGTCTTTCCATCGCATTAGACAGATGTGTTAGTTAAAGTTTTTCCACCAAACTGGAATTTTTTAATCCCCAAGTGTCTGTTTTTGGGGAGGGAGAAGGACAATTATGCAGCCATGGATACATGACCACACTGTGTCCAAGCTGGCTTCAGCCAAGCTGTCTCTAACAACAGTTGAGTCCTCAGTGGGAGGAAACCTCAGGGGAGCAGCAGCAGGGTCTCCAAAACCCATACCAGGGATGCTTGAAAGTCACTACGACAGAGTCACCTTAAGCCCAAAGATGCTTCCCATTGAAAAATGGAATAGAGAAATTGAAATGAGAAATATTTGTCCATGATTTAACCCTTTCTTGCCTTGCTGAGGGAATTTTTTTCAAGAGGATGGTTGAAACATTCAATCTTTGTCCCTGTACCAAAGAGTTTTATACATGCTGGGTGCTTGGCTATGAAACACACTTTGGCCAGGCCTAAAGTGATTTTAAGTGCTTGCAAATTAAATAACAGCTGCATTTATAATCTAAATGAATTAATAAGAAAAGAATAGTGGACAGCTATTTCCATGCTTGTTGAGGTTTATTGTCTCCTTCCCAGCCTGCACATTTAGAGTTTTAAATGGGTTATTTTCTTGGGTGTTTTTTTCTTGAATCCTTGATGAGATTAAAAATTTCACTCCTCTAAAGAAATCACTTCAGAGCTCTTGAACAAGTCTACAGAAATCCAAACTCTTCCCCTGCTCTTCAAATGACTGTTGCCTTCACATTCCAGCTGTGGAATGCTCCGGACACATCTGGTTTTGTTCTTGGTTAGAAGTCCAAATATCTAAACTTGAATTTTATTATAGCATCTTACACGGCCAGATCAATCACTGCTTCTCTAGTGTGCAGCCACATTTTTTAAAATCAGAAGCTGGGATAAAATGCAAACTCAGCTGTGCAGATACTTTGGATACTCCCTTGAGGGACACATGTAATTACAGCGAGTATATTTTCTTACATTGCTTTTTTGTTGTAACATCATATGGACCTTTGATGTTTTAAAAGACAAAATCCTGTCATGATTCAGCCTGTGGCTTTGGGGATTTAAGAAGGAAGTCATTTACATCTGGACAGCTTGTCTGCATCAAAGATGCGGGGACAGGTTCTGTGCTGGAGGACCTTTACTGGACTCAGAGGGAGAAACTCTTTCACTGCAGCAGAATTTTGGGCTCTGCAGCTGACAGTGGCAATCGTGAAGATGAGTGACTTCATCTTTTTGAGACAGTAATGGATAGAGAAGAAGCCTAAATTCCAAGAAAATATTCTTAGGCTCCTCAGGCAATAGCCTTAGACCAAATCCCACTGTGTGGCTGGACAAGGTGCCATCACCAGAGGCCACGAGGTCTGAAATGACCTCTACAGTCAAGCCCCTCACACCACAGATTCAGGGTGAGAAAGCAGCTTGGCCTCCCAGCACACGGGACTCTTCTGTGCTTGGGAACAGCACCTTTTCTTCCCAAGATCACAGGTGGTTGCTCCTGTAGCTCTCAGAAGAAAGACCTGTGCCTGCCAAGCACCACTCAGCAGGTTCTGGGTGCCCGTGAGAGGAGCTGTAGGAGGTTTTCACACCCACCTGGTGCCCAGGCGCCGAGTCCTCAGCCCCATGAACACGGAGCGGATCAGCTTCCCGAAGGAGGCGGCGTTCACCGGGTCCAGCTTGTGCTCCTGGCAGTGCCGGAGGTAATGGTTGTAGAGGGAGCTCCTGGGGAGGCTCACGCCTTCCGCCGTCTCGTAGTTGTCCAAGAGCCACTGGAGCTTTAGGTGTGGAAAAGAGAAAGACAGAAAGACCACGTGAAAGTCTAAGGAGGGTTGGAACGGGCTGCGTCACACTGTCACCGCTCGAAAGCCAGCAGAGCCCAGCAGACATGGAAAGTTCACCAGAACTTAACTGGGTGGTGTATTTATAGAAGTTAATTTACATCACTTCTGCTGGTTGCATTTTTTTTTAATGCAAATAAAAGGCCTCCTCCCCAGCCTAAAGGTAACAACCCAAAGGAAAATGCTGTCAGGTTTGGAGGGTGTTACAACGGGCTCCACCTCCGTGTCCACCTCGGATTCGGGTGAATTCCTGCAGAGCCAAAGCAAAGCTGTGAGAACTCGTGTTTGCCAAGAATAAACATGTTAAGATGCTGCTTAAAAGGAATCAATTTGAGGGGAACCAAATACGCTGCAAAGTCTTTATTAATTTGAAGATTGGCATGTCTGCAACTGTTTCCTTAACAATAAAATGAAGGGTTACCAAAGCAACCTGAAAGAGCTGGAGGGGTCCATCTAGTTTTCAAGATTTACTGCCTGAATTTCTTCTGACATTTCTGTTGATTAAAGTTTGCAGTTAATATAAATTATTTATACCCAGTCAATCTGACAGGGCAAGCCCAGCACACAGTGTCAGCACAGGAATTGAAATGCAGAAAGACAAAACCCCCCAATATCTCCTTTCATTGGCTCAATGAGTTCAGCATCAATGAAATGAGTGTTATATTAAGTGAATTTCTGAAGGAACTAGAGCTACAAATGGACTAAAATGAATAGCTTGGGTAAGAGCCTTTTCATTCTCAGTAGGGACGTTTGGGATGGATGTTTCCCAGCCCTCCAGCCCTGTGTGCACAGGAGGAAGAGCTCCACCAGAAGCAGCTGCCTTCACACCAGATCAGTGGCAAAACTGACTCAGGTTGTGGATGCCCAAATATCAGCCACAACACCTCCATACAACACATAGTTCAAGCACACCTTGTAATTCTGCACTAGCTTGGTCTAGAGATCAGTGGGACCTAACCACACACATGGATGTACAAGTTGACCTGTGCTCAAGTCCTCTCTACTCCAGTATCTGGCTCTTTTCAACCATTTGCTCTTGGTGAAACTTTGGGGTCCCAATTCACCACTATGTTAATCGAGTTTGATATCAATAACACTGTGAAAATACAACCTGAGATGTGCAATGACATCCCTGACACAAAATACAACCTGAGATGAGGAAGAACATCTCTGACACCTCACTCCACGAGCTATTGCCAGTTTCTGGATTTCATACCCAGCTCTGCTCTCACACAAAGTCTCTTCAGCACCTCAGAATGTATACACTGTGGTGATCATTCACATATCTAGATTTAAACTACACAAAATGAGCTGAATCCCAAGCTGCACTGTTAAAAGTGTTTTGTTTATTGGTTGGGTTTGATCCAAAGCAACCACAAGTTCAGACGACTGGATCTGTCAGCTTTGGTGGCCCTTGGAGCAGACCAGGGGCTGCCACAGCTGGGAGAAGAAAAACCTCTTGGCCATTTCCCCCTGTGTCCTGCCTTTCACAGAGTTGCTTGTCACCTTCCTTCCAGTCACACATCACCCAAGACACCCTCTGATGTGTTCTTCCATGGACGAAGATCTTTCTGACCTCCTGTATTTAAAAGATTAATGACTAAGAATGGGCTTTTTTTTTTTTAACCATTTATTTTATTGATCCTATAGGGATACTGAATGTGGATCAGCTCTTTATTATCTAAACCTCTTCTAATTCCAAATTAAAACCATAAAAGTTGCATGTTATGAAGGAATATTCAGATAGGGGGAAAATCCTCTCATTTAAATTTGATCCTGGACATTTTTAGGTTGATCCCCCATATTTCTAGAACATTCCCCTCAGCTTCCATCTTTCTACTTCTGCAAGTGTCTGTTTATATACTTTTAAATATTACAGAGTTTCCCAATTTGAACTCCCACTATTGAGTTAGAAATCTATTATGGAATGTGCAAAAGAGCTTAAAAACCCAAGCTGGCAGAATACACAGCATTTCCAAAACATCATTTTTGCTCCTCCTGCACTAATAACAACAAAGGGGACACTTAAAATGAGAACATTAAAGTTTATTTCCAGTTGTACCCCTTATTCTCTTTACTTTTTGAGTCTTGCTTGGTTGTGATGATGACAAGACACTCTATAGCTTAATTCCTCTTTATACTACAACCAGGTCCCAATAAAATCACCACGCAGCCATATGCTGCTTTCTGTGTTACAGGCACCATGGGGGAACATTTCCATTGCATTGCTACTTTAACTTTATTTCTGTTGCCTGTTTGTTTTGGTTTAAAGAGAAAAATAAACTTGATGAAAACCCTTGTCCTTGTTCGAGTCGAGGATGGCTCTTTAAGGATGGAAAAGGTGATAGATGGGACTGCTTAAGAAAACTAAATTTTATTTTCATGAAGGTCCAGGTTTGGAGAGGTTTTCTCATGGGCATTTCTATTGAAAAAGAAACCAATGAAGACATACATTTGTGGTTCATGTCTAAGGTGGGTTTATCTGATACTAAGAGGAGCTGATTCCCAAGCCCCTGCTCAGTCCAGCTCAGCACTGGGATGGACTCTGGACCATCCACGTTCCTGCCCAGCTTCCCAAGCTCAGTGATTGGGGAAAGATGCTTCCCTCACACCAGGAGTTCCCTGCTCAATCCTCCCCACCTTTTGCAATTAAAGTTTCATCAAACCCTGTATATTTTCTTGAATAGTCTCTTCTCTAGAACAAGGTCCTGTCAGCTCTGGTGCCTTGCACAGATAAGCCCTGAAGCACCCGTGGATGTGAGCAGAAGCTCCAGCACCACCCACCTTTCTCCAAGCAGGAGATTCAGCCTTCACTAGGTCCTTCCATCCTTCCTTTGGCCAAGGCAGAATTATTCCTTTCAACAGCTTTCCTGCTTCTCCCATCATCCTCATTTCAGATGTTTCCACACAAACACCATTCAGGGCTAAGATCTTTTCCTCAGGGCAAAAACTCCATCAGCACCCACAGTTCATCCACAGAGAAGAAGTCCAGTGGTTTTCTGAGGGGTTATTTTGGGGGGTTTTAGGTTTTTGTTTTACAGGCAGCAAGGAAAACACACATTTTCCTCCTGCTCCTCTGAGTGCTGTGGATATCCAGGAGCTGCAGGGCCTCAGCATCCAACTGCCTCCTTATGTGCCCAGCTTTAGGCTCTCGTGGGCAGAAATTGGAGCCATTTTTCTCTCATTTCTTTGCATCATCTGCAAGCTTGTAACTGGCAAAGAAGGAACCATCTGACCCAGTGACTGTGGAGTACATTTGTGAGCAGAGCTTTTTCAGGAACAGCAATAGATTGACACGAATTCATTAGAAACATCCTGTGTCACTGGGGTATTAACATTAGCTCAGGCTTCCAAATTTGCTATTTCAAGTGCACTCAAATAACCTCTCAGAGAGTTTTTGAAGGTAAATTATCAAGCGTGGCTCCATCTCACATTGACTTTGTTTAAACAGCAATATGGGAAAATTTCCCTCTTGACTGAGACACCTTTAATTTTCTTTTTCATTCTTTTTGTCACACCTGCCCCCCCCCCAAGATTCCTGATGTGAAACATCTGCTGACATCAACAAAATCAACCATTAGCCCTCGAATTTACAGATTTGCAAAATGTGAAATGTAACAGGAGGTACAGGGCACTTAATGAAGATCTCTGCAACCTTAAGATTAAAAGCAATTAAGTCACAACTAATAGTGCAATTAGCATTATCTCACAACTTCCTCACTACCAGCTTTCCTCAAGCTCACGTTTTACTTTCAGCCTTGACAAACCAGCCACCTTCTCCTTCACCTTCTGCACGAGCCTGATGATACCATGGGTCAGTCACACACATACTGGGGATAGGAAATCCTTGGTCTGGTTTTTGTTTTTTTTTTTTTAACATAAACAGGTGGGAAGTGAAACATCTCAGATAGAAACCCCTGAAGCCCAGCACAGGCCAGGGAAGCTGTGCAGAGAGGGTCAGTGCTGCACACTCACTGGGCTGTCCCATACTCCGTGGTTGGGAGCAACCTCTGGCCATCTCCAGATGCCCCATCCCTGGAATCATTCCAGGGGAGGTTGGACCAAGCTCTGAGCACCCTGCTCTAGCTGCAGATGTCCCTGCTCCCTGCAGGGGGGTTGGACTAGATGAGTTTTAAAGGTCCTTTCCTACCTAAACCATTCGATGATGACAGTACAATTCCAGACCAGCTTCCTACTCAAATCAGCACTCACTTCCAAGGGAGGTTGGTCAGGTCCCTCACTCAGGTCTCATTCAGTTGAGTCTTGAGAACCTCTCCAGGCAGAGGCTTCCCAGCCTCTCTGGGCACCACCACTGACCTTCCTCTAGCTCTGGAAAGAGACTGATCCAGTTCTGCCACGTGCTCGTTTCCTCCAGGCACTGCTGGTACCATCACCTCCTCACTGCTCCCACATGGCCACAGACATGGCTCTGTGCTCCAGGAAGGCAGGGCAAGGACACTGGAGCTCCACAGGCCAGCAAGGGCCCTGCTTGTTTCCTTGGCTCAGGCTCTGTGCCCTGGCAGAGGGAACTCCCCAGCCCTGGAGCTGCCCAGGGCAGCGTGTTGCTTGTGCCTGGACTGACCCCTTCAGCAGAGAGCTATGTACACACTTGCTCAGGAAGCAGTTGATTTGCTCCAGAGTCTGCAAGAGAACTTAAACCTTACATCAAACTATGAGCTGTGACCTGAGAAGAGAGACATTAAGGTCTTTACTTCCACCCTGCAAGATAAGGGTGGGGAAGATCTGCTCAGAGGCTGGACCAGGCTCTAACTCCATCCTGCACAGTCTGCAGCCAGATAGAATCTCTTTTCTATCTTCACTTTATTTCCTTTGCCCTTTTCCTCCTTTTTTTAAACCTCCTTCAATACCATACCATATCTGTCCCCATCCTGCTCTGCTCTGTCCCTTCATACACTGGGTCAAATGAGAGAAATTCTGCAGAGCAACATTATCTCTGGAGAAATCTGCAGAGCACAGCACGGGTGTGTGAGGCTGCACAGAGATGCTCAGAACAGGAACACCCAGCCTGATTCTGCAGGTTTCTGCTTCCCCAGCTACTACAAGGAACCTTCAGTTTCTAGAAGGTGAAATCAAGCTCAGCCAGGAGCCCTGGCTTAGAGTACATCAGCCTAAGAGAACAGACCATTAGGTTTAATGTTCCCTTCATTTTCTCAACTTATTTCTTTCTCTAGGGTGAAGAGAGCAAAGATTTTCTCTTTTGCAGGACCTAAGGATGACAACAGATCTGCCCCCAGACAGAAAGCCAGAGGAAATGTGTTAGAACAAAGCAGCAGCACTTTGTGCACTGTGATTTACCAGTGCAGAGCACCCTTCAGCCTAATCCAAAACACAGCCAAGCCAAGGCAAGTCCAACGACTTCAACAGGACTTGAATTAGACCCTTCAAATCTCACACAAGCACGTGAAGCTTTATCACACAGGAGCCATGACCCACGATGCAGAAGGCTCAGGAGAATAGTGAGAACTTCACACAAAGCAGGGAAATTAACTCTTGGCATAATGAGCAGAGTGAGGTCTGGCAGATGGGTTTAGCACAGCACTGTAGCAGGGATGCTCCTCCTGAGGCACACAGAGAGGCACGAGGGGCTGTCACAGGAGCAGGCTGTTGGTACACAGTGTCTAAGGGCTTGGCACGACTCACACCAAGCTATTGCTGTAGAATTCCAAGTGTTTTTCCAGCCATCTTTCAATTCCAGTGAAGGAACTTCCTCAAATGTGTTTTATCTAATTGCCAGCAATTTTCATTGCGAGGCAGATGAAAGATAGAAACACAGGGCAGAGGCAGTTCACAGGATCCAGAGCATCTCATCAACAAACATTAACATCAGGGCACTTTTTGCAGCTTCTTGTTTCTTGGGAAGGGGCTGCTTTGGCTGAAGCACAGGCTCGTGCTGCTGAATACACCAAAGGGCTACAAATACTGCTCCTACCAAAGCAGGAAAAAGGTGGTAAATTCTGATTGTAACTTACATGGCTGTTGAGCAAACTGCTTTTGTGTGATGTAATCCCTTCATTTTTTTGTAGGTTTTCAATCGCCATTTCAAGCTAAAGAAAGTGTGCAGAGGGAAAAAAAACAACAAACAAACAAAAAACAAAGGAAAAAAAAACAGAAAAAGAAAGGAAATCAGATAGTTAGCAACAGCCAGGATTATTTCTTTATTAATAATCGAATGATTAATGCTTTATATCAACAGGCTTGTGAAAAAAGAGGCAAACAGATGAGGCACAGTCCTTATGGGCTGAAGCTGCAGAGGGGTCACTGCACAGCATGCACACGACCAGCACAGCACGAGGGTGGCAGGGTGAGACCAGGGCCTCTGCTCCTCTGCTCTTCCCCAGAAACATCACCCACTTCTAAAAGCAAAGCAGTTCTCCTTCCCCCTCCATGCCTACACCCAACCACCACTGGACAGCTGGGCTGCAGCAGGTCAGAGATTTGATCTGAGAAGGTGTTTTACCCAGAGCTTTCAAGGAGAAGTGGAAGTAATGATTTGGGGTATTCTTACTCCTTTATCTTTTTGATATAAACCTAATGGCAATGAAATAAAACAGAGGCACAAGGAGGGTTACACCCAGAGTGCATATGTTGGAATGGAGAAGAGCTTGTGCTGCTGAGAACTGCAAAGGGGCTCTGAGGGAGAAGAGAGGTTTGGATTAAGTGACCTTCTTCCCACCAAGACAGGCTGGCACAGCTTGATGCCACTTGTGCCCAGCTCCATTGTCTCAGAGCTTCTGAGAGGTGAGGCATTCTGGCCCCTGAAGAGCCCCCTCCCTCTGCCTAGCTTCTGTTCCACACCCAGCCCAGCTACAGCTGCTGCCTTGTGCCCAGACCCTCTCCTGGACCCTTTTTGTTGTTCCTTCTCTGCTGCTGGGACTCATCTGGCAATCTCTGGTAAACTACTCAGCCAATGGCTGCTGGTGCCAGAGCTCTGGTGCTCCTCAGCACAAGCCTTTTGCAAGTGAGGAAGGAAAAAAAAAAAGCCAAACCAAAAACCCTCCCACATTAAGGGCCTGGCAAGAGCAGAACCTGCAGTTTCTCTCCCGTAGATGTTCTCAAAACCCTGTTCTCTGGGAACTGCTCGTGCAGGCAGGACAGGGCAGGACACATCAGCCAGCAGAACCTGCAGTCAGCAGCTCTCTGGAGCATCTGCCCTCACTTAGCATGCAGGGTTGTGCATTCATCTGTGGGCATGTACACAATGACCTGGCACTGGGCTCCTGCACATCCCCTGTGCTCCAGTTTGCACTGCACTCATAGCATGGTGAAGAGAAAGGTCGAGATAAAACCAGCCATGGAAAAACCAAGCTCTGGCAGAAAGGTGGGAGGAGAGAACAAATCAGGTGTAGCTTCTGAAGGAAGGTCAGCAGGCAAAGGTCTGGGCCACAGCCACTCCTGAACGTGCTGCTCCAGCCAAGCCCCTCCAGCACACGGCCCTCGGCTTCCAGCCAGAAGTGCCATCCCTGTGGGACTTCTCAGAAGTTACCACTGACTTCCAAAAAGGGTCAGTCAGATGTCAGTGGGGTTTGAGAAGACTGCCCAGCACGTGGTGATGCACTATGAGGAACCAAAGGCTGATTGCTGATGCAGCCTTCAGGAAGTGAGGCGGTGCTGGAGGGAGACACCATTTCCTTCCTCTGTTCAAGCAGCAGCGTTGAGCAACACCTCTTAGGCAAGCACAGAACCCTTGCCCAGCCCTCTGGCACCTTGGTCAACGTCCCATGGACGTGTCCCACATGGACACCTGGTGTCTGCAGAAAAAATATTACAGGGGAAAGCCTAAAAGCTCTTAAACAGCCCTGCAGGAAGGTGAGGAGCTCTGAGCACCCACTTATGGGAGCATGGGACTGCTTCATGGGCTGTTTCAGCCCAGCTGAGGGAGCAGAACATCACTATTCCAGCAGATATGGAAGATGGGCTCTCTAAATATTTGAAGATTCTACTTTAGTGCACATCAATCTTTACCAAACACCCCTCAGCTTCCTGAGGCAGCTCTTACAGCACTGCTAATCCTGAGGTGCTCCCTTGTTCCCAGGCTCCTGGAAGATACTCTCCTTGCTTTTGAGGTCTTGGTGCTGGCTCTGCCTCAAACGTTCAACACCCTCCAAGCCCTCTCACCTCCCCACTCCTTGCAGCTGCCTCTCAGGTTGCCAAGCCCTCACACCACTGGCCACTTTGACATCCATCCCTTCTACACTACACGCCCAAGGCCACATGCAAACACGATGGCTTCCTTGGCCACATCTGCAAGAGTTGCACTTTTCTTTCCCTCCACAAAACTCTCAATCCTGCCCCAAATACATTTTTCCCTGGACTGCAGCCTCTCTGGCTTCTTTGACACCACCTTTTCCTCTATTCTCTGTTTAAGCAAGATATTTCAACTACAAACAATGTTCCTACCTGCTGATTTATAGAATCATTGATGGAAAAGACCTTCAAGATTCTGAAGTCCAGCTGTTTCCCACCACTGCCAGGTCCCCACTGCCCCGTGTCCCTCACCCCACATCTCCACGGCTTGGAAACCCCTCCAGGGGTGGGGACTCCACCACTGCCCTGGGCAGCCTGGCACAGCCCTGGGCAACCCTCCAGGGCAAGAAATTGTTCCTCAGGGACAACCTCAACCTCCCCTGGGGCAACTTGAGGCCGTTTCCTCTTGCTTCTTGGGAGAAGAGATTGACCCTCACCTGGCTCCAGCCTCCTTTCAGGGAGCTGTAGAGAGCAACTTGAACCTGATGTAGTCATTGCTCTTCTTTAAGCCTTCCACTATCTGTCCACTATCTGCTGTGTGAAATTCAGAGCAGTTATCAGAGCTCTGCTCTACCCCCCTCCACAGACTCTGATCTGTGCTGAAAGAACCTAAAGCCCCACACCCACACATCCCAAACTGTCCCACATTCACTAAGTCACCCTCTTGAGCCCTTCCACAAAAGCCAAGGACATTTTGTGTTAAAATACCTTCAGAAAGTTCATTCCTAGATGTAACAGGCTGAATTTATTTCAGGTGCACTTTCAGAAAGCTCAATTCCTAAATCCTTTTTTTTGCTGAACAGCTTTATCTGATGCAAACAGCTCCAAACTAAACCTGCTCATGGGACATTTCTATTGACAAATATTCTACTCAGGCTTTTTACACCGTGGAAATTTGGGGAAAAAAAACCACAAAACAACCAAACATCAAAACCCAAACCCAAAGGTATCATGCAGCTTTGTCCTATGTAGGTGACAGGATCAGCAGCTACTTCCTTCAAAGTAACAAGGTTGAGGAGAAATCAGGAGATGGTCCAACACTAGTTTTTAGCTATGAACAGTTAAAACACACACACACAGAGTTCTCACCCAGGAAACAAACCCCAGCTAACCCAAGTGCATCTGTCCTTAGCCCTTCTACCCACAGCTAAGGACTCTTCCCCTACTTCTACCTAAGGCAGGGCACATTTACTCCAGGATCAAAGGCACAAAGATTCAAAGCACATGAACTCTATATTCTAAATCTCTGTGGGAAAAGAAAGTACAATGTAAAAGCCAGATTTTTAAGAGCACTCAGCAGCAAACTCAGCTCCTGGTTTTCTCCCTGGGTGGTGCTGTTCACATTTTAAAATCTAGCCACATACACTGAATCACACCTACATTTGTAATGATGTTTACACACAAATATATAAACAGGGGTAGTAAGTTGGTCTGGAAAGGAAGGTGAACAGAAAGCAAGCTCCAGCCCTCTCCTGGCAGCAGCTGCTCCAAGACAGCAAACTCAGCTCCTGGTTGTCTCCCGGGGTGGTGCTGTTCACATTTTAAAATCTAGCCACATACACTGAATCACACCTACATTTGTAATGATGTTTACACACAAACATATAAACAGGGGTAAGTCGGTCTGGAAAGGAAGGTGAACAAAAAGCAAGCTCCAGCCCTCTCCTGGCAGCAGCTGCTCCAAAGGGCTGGTAGATTCCCAGATAAGATTCCCAGATAAAAGGGCTGGTAGATTCTCCAGTAAAAGCCTTGGTAACTTCTAGCTGCAGAAAGGCTGGTTTGGGTTAATAGCTGTACCCCCCAAGCCCTCCCAAGCTGTTTGCTGCACTTCTAGCAACCTGGCACCTCAACTGGCAGCTGGAGGAACACGATTAAAGAGAAATCAGAGCTTTAAAACATTCCTGTTTGATCAGTATTATCCCTAAAATACATTTTCTGTAACATACAGCACGGACAGAATACACAATGGTGGAGGAGATCCATACAAAGACTTTTTGATCACTGTGCATTTGGCATGATCAGCTTGAAATACCTCATGTGCACATTATCCACTGTGGTAATAATGGATTTTTCATAATTAAAAAGATATTTTTAGATTTCTTTATTTTGGATAAACCAAGCCCCACGTTTAGACGTTATGCTTATTAGAAAATATAAATATAGGCAATTGATTTGAATTGGAAAGCCAAAACATTTTGCTTAGGGAAAAAAAAAGACCAATGAACTCCTAAGACTGTTTTTTTATCTCCATGTTGCATAATTCCAGCAATTCACTCAGAAAGTCTGACAAGTCTCTGCAAGAGAGACCTTCCAAACCCCTGCTGAGAACTACCTGCAGCACACCAGTGTCTATTCTGTCCCTTGCATTTGCATGGCAAATTAAACAGACATATACAGTGAGAATGACAGGAAGTTTCATTTTTTGGAAGGCTTTTCAGTTCCCTTGGAATAATTCCTGGCCCCCGAGCTGCAACATCTGCAGGGCTACATACCGTTGCTGGAGAGGAGCGTGAAGTATGTGACAGAGAATGTCTAGTGTTTTCCATCCCCCCATGAATGAGATAGGCTCCCGAGCCGGAGAGGATCTGACTTCCCCCAATGTCCATGGTGATGCCCACCATGTTGTGAGAGGGAATGGCTGTAGGAGAGGACGCCGCTGTAGTCACCTGAGCTCCACCTCCCTGCCCTTCGAAATAGGACGCGGCGCTGCTGGGGGCGTAAATCTGAGCTTCGGTGTTGTAGGAGTAGGTGGTTCGTCTGCCAAAGGAACAACAGGGTCAGGAGGTGGAGAGGAGCTTGTTTTCTTCTCTCTTCCATGAGATCTAAGCTCATGGACTGATAGTTTCTGAAATCTGGACCTCCTTTCTGGAAACCTCTCCGCTGTCAGTTGGGTTTGCTCCACCCAGATCGAAGCCGGTGCTGTAAAAGTCACTCCTGATGTTACCCAGTCCCCTCACAGCCCTGGAGCAAAGGCCCAGAGCCCAGGAGCTCCTCTGCAGCCCTCGTGCAGAGGGCTGGGAGCATCCCCAGGGCACTGGCCCAAAGCAGGAGCACAGCAGAGAGGAGGCTGAGAAACCCCACAAAGCCCCTGACTTCAGTTAGTTGGGCAATTCCACCACCCAGTGGCCCCCCCAGCCCCAGCCAGAAGGAGACTGGGGAGAAGGAGACCCCTGGCTTGCAAAAGAAACAGATTTAGTAAAATAATACCACCTCCCCCCAATATTAATACTCATCCTGCTATAAAGCACACAGAGTCATACTCAGCCCACGTGGTGGTCGGGAGCTGCGTGCTCCCAGCAGGGAATGCAAGCTGCCAAACATCAGCAGCCCCACAGCCAGGGCAGAGGCAGAGGAGGAGGACCCGGGAGCAGGACGACCTTCCAGGGATGGTGGCCATCGAGGAAGAGGGACTGTCCCCAGAGCACTCTTTGCTATACAGTGAGTGTGACGTTGATGGTATGGAGCAGTGCTGTTGGTCAGCTGCCCAGGCTTTGCTCCTCCTTGCTTTGGCACCTGGCTAACTCAAAACTTGACCTTGATCACTATGGAGACCCGCATACCACGGCTGGCCAGGGAGGAAAACAAAGTGTCTTATCAACTTTGTTCTCACCGAGTCGGGTGCTGCAGTCTTCTCAAAAATGCAGCTTTCCTCATCAGAAAGCTGATTTGGTGATTCCATCCCAGCAAAACCAGGGTAACCCCTTTCTTCTTCCAGCAGCTACACTCCCAGTTCCTAAAGCCACCCCACCACACAACGGGCTGGGCAGATTCTCTGGAGAACAGTCCTCCCCCCCACCATGAGGACAACACCTCCTCCAAGGCTGGAGTCTGGCTGAAACCACCCCCATGCACCCAAGGGAGCGTGTGAAACTGTTCCTCCTCTTCCTCCTGGGTGGAAGGAGCCTGGCAGGACCCTCCCAGCTGGGAGAGGACCAGGGCTCTGCTACAGCCAGTGAGAGACTCTTACATGGTTCCATTGGTATAAACAGCTTCTCCTCCTTCCACATACTGGACCTGGGCTGGATATACATGCTGCACAGATTGCACCTGGAAGAAGCATCACAAACTGAGTTATGGATGTGTTACTGCCTAGGGAGAGCAGGAGAAATTACATATCACCCCCTTAAAGGACCTGCAACCTCACCTTGACATTTAGGCTTTCTTTTTAAAAGAAAAACAAAACAAACAACACCCCCCCTCCCCCATTTAGGAATCCCAAAGTGGGTATTTATTTTAAAAGGTCAAATTAAAATAAATAAATAAGTAGTTGCTCCATGAGCAGTGGAAAGAGAGGAGCTGGGTTTCCTCTGCACACATCTCTCAGGGCTGGTGCTCTGCTGACTAATAAGGGTGAGATCATGCTGCAGCCTTTCCTTCAAAGGTTGGCAGTGTCCATCTGCACCCCAGCCCCCTCCTTCACTGCTCTGGGAGGGACACAGTTGTTCTCTGTCAAGGTTTGTTTTTTTTTTTCCCTCCTGAAACAGAGCAACCAAACAGAAAACTGCTAGAGGAAAAAGTCAAGAGAGTCAGACTCGCTGTCCACAGGCAGTGGCACCACATGTGCTGGGTCTTTTAGCAAACAAGGACTGCAGAAGGCAAAGTTCAGATAAATAAAACCCCTCGTGTGGTTCTGTCACCTCACCTCTCTGTGAAGCCACATACAGTCAGTACAGTTATTGGTGCAGTTAAAAACAAATCTCAGACACTTTGCCTCTGAAAAAATAGAGGATAGCTTGTAAATGGCAACTAAAAGCATCCATCAATCTTTAAATGCATGGAAGATGAATGCTGCAGTGAAGGTTCTTTCTAAAATTTCAATATCTTGAGAGTTTCTTTTGTCATAAGCCCAAGGAAGGAAGAGAGAGCTGGAGAAAGCTGCTCTCACAGGGATCCCCAGTTCTGTAGCTGCACACAGTGTGGGTTTTTCCAAGCAGCTATCTGGGACAGTTTCAAATGTCATGTGGTGTAGGGAGGGTCCTGCTGGCACAAAGGTCCCTGCCTGGTGTCTCACCCTGGAGCTATTACCTGTTGTGGAACCTGCTGGACTCTGGGAACAGAGATCTGCTGCATCTGTGCTCCTTTGGGAGCAGAGCCTGCTGCCTGGACCAAAACCCTCTGAAAGAAGAAGAGACAGTGACACACTTACTTTCAGCCAGCAGTGCAGGAGAGTTAGGTGTTCTCCTTCAAACTCGTGGAGATCTTGCCTCCTGCCCCAGCACTACCCCTTACTGAGCATCCCCACCCTTCCAGTGTCACCTGCACCAGACACCAGCCTGAGCTCAGTATCCCAGACTTGGGAAAAGCTGGATCCTGATTTTCTGACATGCATCATCTTTGAGTCTCCATGCAAGGAAATAACAGCTAAAAATTGATGGGAGGAGCTCGACACCAGGTTCAGTTGCAGCTAAACAAGAACCATTCACAGAATCCCAGCACAGTGGGTCTTAGAAGGGAGCTCTGGAGATAACTCATCCAGCCCCTGTGCTCTTGGCCAGCATTGATCAGATCCCCTCTGAGTCTTCTCTTCTCCAGCTGAACAGCCCTGGGGCTCTCAGCCTGTCCTGGCACAGAGATGTTCCACTCTCACACATCCACATTTTCCTCTGGTGGCTGCAGAGTGTCTTCTTTTGGCTGCTGTACCAAAACACACTCTGCCTCCTGCAACAAGAAATCACATTCTCCAAGGAGCCACAGCCCTTATGAGTTCTACCAGCATGAAAGCTCAGAAGGTTCTGCATCTCCTTTCAGTGCCACCAAGGGCACAGAAACACGTTGTGTTGCCTTGTGGTGGTCACTCTCTGTCCTCTGCCTCTGCACTGCCATTTCCATCGTCCCCCTGCTCTTTGTTACACTCAGTCTGAGGTTGGACACCTCCTGCAGAGTGCTCAGCCCCTTGTGGGTCCAGCAAAACAAACATGTGGACATGGTGGATGGAAAGAAATGATTCAGTGAGGCCCATGGGAACACGATTGAAGTATCAGTATGGCCTTTCACCTGATGCCTGTCCAAGGAGACAGTCATCCTCTGTGGCTTGAGGCTTTAAAAATACTCAGCAGATTGGGTCAACAGAACAAAAAGCTGCAAAACAATCCCACATGAACCCTAGAGGAGATGCTGACAATGGCTGGCTACCTCATCTGTACATATTTATGATTTTTAGCCCTCTGACACCCTCCCAACATGCCCTTTGTAACCAGCCAGAAATTCTCTTCCAGAAGAATTCTAGGAAAATGAGAATTGCCCAGATTTCTAGGCAGGCTCTCCATCACCAGGCCCCAGGATGGCCTTCAGCAAGTCTGGGTATGTTGGAGATCCTGCAGCTGAGCTGGTGGGAGGGACACGTACACTCCTGCCACCCCTTTGGCCACTTTCTCTCCCAAAGAGGCTGTAACCAGTGCACAACTGGAATGTTATAAGCCCTTTTTCAAGCCAGGCCTTGGCAATGCCACCTGTAGCAAAGTCTCAGCCAGGTGGTGAGACTTCCTGCTACTTTCCTTCCTCCTACTTTATACCCATCCTCTCTCTTTGCTTTTACCCAACAACACATCTCCTTTGGTACATCTGCCCAGCTCAGTGACTTCTGGAACCTGTCACTGCCTGTCCAGCTGCTCCTATTACCTTCCAACCAAAAAAATGAATCATCCCCAACCTGTAAGATGAGGCCATCCTGTTCATACAGCCTTCGCTCACACTGGAAGGCAGACCAGTGATCAACAACGCCAAAGGCTTCAGCCTCACACCAGTCATGCTGCCAGCAGTTCATCCCTGGGATTTTCTTCGTCCTGCTGCTGAAAAGGGAAGGCTCTGGATGCTCTTCCTCTGCAGCAACCTTCCACGATCCTCTGGGTCTTCCTCAGTCCTTGGAGTTCCACTCAATACTCTGTGTCGTGATGGCAGCACCAGCAAAGGCTGGATGGGCAATTTCATAATCCAAAGCTGAGGGATTTGAATCCCAATCAGATTCACTGAGGATCCCTGAGACGTTTGGCACTAGTGAGCAGCAGTGTCCACATCACTACAACTCCAGCAAGAAGGGTCACCCAGAGGGAGGGAAGCTGGGAAGGCTGAGAGGTGACAGCAAGCTGAGCAGCCACCCATCGAATCACACTCTGTGAGTGTCCACAGCTCCTGGTGAATTGAATGCTCCTACTAATTCACTATTTTTAATTGTTGCTTTACATCAGCATCCAATGGCAGCTATTTCTGCTCCCTTAGGAGTTGGAGAAGGGTGTAGCTCAGTTATACCCACCCATCCTCTTATCCCTCCAGCTTCCTGTGACAGAAACTTCTGATAGTTCCCCAAAAGGCATAAAAAGGAACCAGTTTTACTTAACCCTTCCTGTTTTGCACTAGGTAGTTTTCATTCATCAGTAAACTATCATTCCTCTCCTATCTGGAGAGCTCCCAAGTGCATCATAGGAGTATATAGGATTCATGAATCCACTTCCCCAGTTTAAAATCAGTCAGGATCCATCCACCAAAGGCAGAGACCAACCTGTGGCTCCTCCACCCTCTCCCCACATTAGCACTTCCCTCACTGCTTCTCTGTTGAGCTCAGTGCCTTATTTGCAGAGATGCCTTTGAGGACTGTTTCCTTTCCTCTTGCTTTTCTTGACACACTGAATAA